AGTAAGAGGTTCCTGAAAGCCATATCTCGTATCTTATCTCCAGTCCTGAATTGCCTGCTGAGGCTGCCCACAGTCTCCAGCCTACGGGTAAGATCTGTCCATATGACCTTTGGACACAAGACAGAGAAGTTGTCCTAGAATTTGCAAATCTTCATTTAAGAGCTCTCCACTCCCTAAAAACGCTCTTCACCACCAGAGGAAGAGGATATACTTTGTTTTTTAAAGGTTTTTAAAAGCAGCCACCAGCCAGGTTTCAGTGGCTCACATCTGTATATCCTAGTTACTCAAGAAGCTAAGATATGAGATTGAGGTTCGAAGCCAGCCCAAGAAGAAAAGTCCCTGAGACTAATTCAAACACATATACACATACACACACACACACACAGAACCATTTCTGGCTTTTGGTAGTTTATTGGAGATAAGAGTCTCAGAGACTTAACAGCAATCTTCAGATCTCATCCTCCAGAGTAGCTAGGATTATAGTAGCTGAGATTATAGGTGTGTACTGCCAGGACTGGCTCAAAACTACTTTTAAAATTGGATCCCAATCTATTTATCACAAGAAAGGTATACAATACAGCTTTTACTGGAAATAGCAAAAGAAAGAATGGAGGTGGGGGAAAATACAGGGGAAAAAAATCACTCCTCTTTTTAAACTTTTCTGGATAGTCTCAGAATACTTCCTATATTGATAAATTTAATGCTTGAGATAAGATGTTAAAAAGATAAGATATAGCCTAGGGCCTGTTGCTCAAGCCTGTAATCCTAGTTACTCAGGTGGCTGAGATCTGAGGATCTCAAATCTAAGCCAATCCAGTCAAGAAAGTCTGTAAGACTCTTATTTCCAATTAACCACCAAAAGGCCAGGAGTGGATTTGTGGCTCAAGTGTTTACTCAAGCACCTGCCTCGAGTATAAAATCTCAGGGACAGAGCTCCAGCCCTTAGTTCAAGCCCCAGACAGACAGACAGACAGACACACACACACACACACACACACACACACACATACACACACACACACACACACACACACACACACACACAGGATACAGCCCAGCTCTTACAAGGCTTCTATTCAACTAAAAATAAAATGGTAATATAATTACATATATATTTCAAAGATGAAAACATTCTGTCCTACCTAGCAAGAGGAAACAGTGAAATACCAACATTTTAAATGCTTAAGATACTTGCCTAAAAGTAGAAATGCTTTATAAATATAATAACAAATTGTGCAACCTTATCATATGACTTCATCAATGCTTAAATAAAAACTCAAAAACATACAAGGCACCACTGGCTGATGTCTATAATCTTAGCTACTCAAGAGGCTGAGATCTGAGGATAGAAGTTAAAAGGCAGCCCAGGCAGGAAAGTGACACTCACCTCCAATTAACCACCAAAAATGCTCAAAGTAGAGGTGTGGCTCAATGACAAAATAAAGCTCAGGGACAGTGCCCAGGCCCTAAGTTCAAGCCCCAATACTAGGGAAAAACAAAATAAAAACAAAAATAGAAAGGAGTCTGAATAGTTGTAAAACTGATTCATAAGAATAAATGGGCAGATAAGGAAATACAGGCCCGTAAACTCAGGACATTGAAGTAGGAGGATGAAGAGGTGGAGGTGGGCTTGGTAAAATGGTGAGGCCCTGCTTCAAAACAAAGTAAATAAACTTCTATAGAGAAAATAAAAAAAAGAAAAGTCACTGCCTTGGGGGTGTAGTTCCATAAGACAACTTTCTTAGCAAGCTCAAGGTATGGAGTTCAACAACCAGCACCAGAAGAAAACTCATGCCATGTATCCCATACCATACATTCAGTTATGACAATAGACTTAAACAATCAGCAGTTAAAAACTGAAAAGGAAAGGAATGTACATTATCACCCAAAGTGGAAGAAATAACTGTATTGTCAAAACTCATAGAACTCATAAAGATTATAGACCACGATAAAGACAATTTGCCCCATAGGGGAAAAAAAAAACTCAACGATCACCAAGCACTGTAATCCTAGCTATTCAGGAGGCTAAGATCTAACAACAGCAGTTCAAAGCCAACTCAGGCAGTAAAGTCCATGAGACTCTTATCTCCAATTGACTGCCAAAAAAGCTGGAAGTGAAGCTGTGGCTCAAGTGGTAGAGCACCAGCCTTGAGCAAAAGAGCTCGGGGACAGTGCCCCTGCCCATGCTCTGAGTTCAAGCTAACAACAAGCACCAAAATTTTAAAAGCTGGCGATCTTTATAAATGATATTATCTTTAATTGATAAGTTTGCAAATGACACAATTAAAAAGAAACAAGGAGGATCAATAAACATTTTAAAATACTCAACTACAATACTAATCATAAGTGCTAGCTTAAGATGAAATTCTTTTTTTTTTTTTGGGTGGGGGGGGTCCGGTCGTGGGGCCTGTTGCTCTGGGTCTGGGCACTGTCCCTCAGCTCTTCAGCTCAAGGCTAGTGCTCTACCACTTGAGCCACAACGCCACTTCTGGCTTTTTTTTCTTTTTGCTTATGTGGTGCTGAGGAATCGAACCCAGGACCTCAGGCATGCAAGGCAAGCGCTCTACCACTGAGCCACCTTCCCAGCCCCAAGATGAAATTCTATAGTTCACTAATCAGATGAAAACAATACCCAGTACTGAGAGAAAAGTATACAAAGAAGAATAGACACTGGAAATTCTTCTGAAAAGGCAATGTGACCAACAACCCATATCAAGACTTGAGTTCAAATCCTTCAGTACAGTCCTTCCACTTAGTAGGTACATACACCAATAATACCCAAGATTTCAGACAAAGAATTCTAACCCAGAGTATTTGGTGTATAATTCCCAATAACTGGAAGTTGCCTGTCCACAACAGGAAACTGCCCAAAGTGACAAAATGTAAAGAAGTTAATTCTATGCAGCCATTACAAACATCAAAGTCCCCAAAGATTTTTTTTAATGACATGAGAAAAGTTCACAAGATTGTAAGTAAAAAACAAAACAGGACATGATCATAATTTTATGTCTATACAAATATGTAAAAATTAGATTAGTAGTGAAGCTAGAGGCCATTTTAATTAGATTTTTCTTTGACTTTTCTTCCTTCTACTTTTCTAAATGCTCTAAATTTTCTGTAATGAACATGTATGCCATTAACAATCAGGAAAATATAACTTTAAAAATATCTAGAGCTGAGGGTGTAGTTCTGTGGCAGAGTACTGATCTAGTATTGGGAGACCCTGGGTTTCGGCCCCAGCACCAATAAATAAATAAACAAGAATTTTTCTTAATAGCTAAAGTGTACCACAATGACACAGACCGATGACACTGTGGGGGTCACTCTTTACCTTCTAACATCTATACTGAACAAGAGAACACTCTTTCAACTCTAGTATGCAGACACTTCCAGAAGTGTCAGCAAGTGGGGGAGGGGCACAGCAAACAACCAAATACCCCATAGTTCAGGGGAGGGGCAGATGCTCAATGCCCTAATCTAGTGGCCAAACAGACTCCCAACACTATGGATGTGGCTAAGAGCAAGGAGCATATTGAGATCACTGAACTATGTAGGTGTCATATAATTCCATCTTTCTAAATTTATACAAGAAAGCAGCAACCCAAAGAAAGAAGAAAGCAGAGACCCAAAGAGAGAAGAAACGGCTCAAAGTTGGGGAAGTCACACACCTTTGGCACATATCTCTAATCCTAGCTAATCAGGAGACTGAGATGTTAGCATTGAGGGGTTCAAGCCAATCTGGGCAGGCAAACCCATGAGATTCTTGTCTACAATCAACAAGTCAAAAGCTGGGCATGAAGGTGTGGCTCAACAGTAGAGCTAGCAGTAGAGGGAAAACCCAAGTACAACAGGAGGCCACTGGGTGCCCTTAGGGACAAGCTTTGCCTTCCCCTCACCATTTACATACAATGGGAGGCAGCCAGAGCCCCCGGGCTGTAATGTGTCCACAGAAGAGCCAGAAGGAATGATGGGCCTCCACCCTCCACTGTTCCCCAGTGCTCTAGAGAAGGCAGCACATAAGGAAATTCCAAAACTCAGACCAGCTTCACCTAAATTGCACCCAGACTTCACACCCACTAGACTTTCCTATCTAAAAGCAGAGAGGCAACAAACACATGCGCTTGATTCTGGGGGTGCACAAGGGGGTGACAAAACCTGCTAACCATATACATTATCATGACAGAAAACAAAACACAACACCACACAAGTGTCTGACAAAGGAACTAGGGACTGCCTATAATTCTAGCACTTAGGGGGCTAAGGCAGGAGAAACACAAGTTTGAGGCCAGCTTGAGCAACAAGTAAGCCTGAATCTCAGAAATAAATAAGCAAGCAAGCAAGCAAAAAAAAGGTATTTGCCATTGCACATCACTACCATCCCGAACATTCCATTTACCTCCACACTTTTAAACCTAACAAATTAGACTTCTCATTTTGTACACAAAAACAAAGGTTTAGGACCCCTTCTCTTACTTGGCTTTCTTCTCTCAATGTGACATATAAGCCACACCTGGAGGAAAATCTCATGGACTTTTCTTCCAGGGCTGGCTTTGAACCGCAATCCTCAGATCTCAGCCTCTTGAATAGCTAGGATTTTAGGCATGAGCCATCAGCACCTGGCTTCATATTTTTTTTTTTAAGTTTTGGTTAAAGTTGGGGGATCACACTAGGTTTCCTGGCTAGCCCAGGGCTCTAAGACTCAGAGATCCTTTTGTCTTAGCCTTCCAAGTAGCTGGGACTGTAGGTCTACACCCCAGTTCCCAGCTGTCCTTGGTTTCATTTTTCAGATTAACTCACATAGGTTCGCTCAGAAAGGCTGCACAGCTAGCAAGGGGAATGGGACAGTGGCTGACAACAAAGCTCCATTTCTTGGCCAGCCTGCCTTACCCATTCACATCTTAATGATTGAAACCAAAGTGCTTTTTCCTAGCCACTCCTCACTGCTTTAAATGTCGCTCCCACCCCTTGGTTCCTTGGTTCCCATAGTCTGAGGCCACTACCTTGGTTGAGGTAGGTCAGGGTCTCTTCATGCAGCTTCACGGCTGGGGACGTAGCAGCACACAGCACATACTGCAGTGGAGGCAGACGGGCCCCGTTCTCCGGGGACAGCTGGGGCTCCTCCTGCTTGAAGATGGGCAGAGCGAGCACATCACTGCAACACACAAGAAGCAACGGTCAGGAGCAGGCCATAGGAACCCCTGTACAAAGCCAGAGCAGAGCTGGACAAATGGACACAGACCACAGTACAAAGGTGACTGGACAGAGCTTATGACAACAGGCCAGCTTCACTTCTGACCCTAGAATTACAGGCATGCCACATGCTTCAAACACGGTGAATACTACATCAGGATACTGGCATTGCTCAGGGCCTTCTATCCATCGTGGAGGAGACAAGAAGTCAATGTTACCTCTCACAAATCCTCCAAGTGACACAAGGAGCTGCAAGGAAGTGACCTTTAGAATCAACTGGCTTCATCCTCACTACCTTCTCCATCTCCCCTCAGCACAGGGGATGGTACCCAGGGCCTCACTGAAACTTGATTTTAGTATAATAATCTGACAAACTGCTATTTTTTAATCAACTTCCACTTACCAACCCCCTTCTCAGACCAGCCTGAAAGCTCAGTAAACTATACAAATGACGAAATCATTAGCTTCACCCACCCAAATGGAGACACCCCTCCATCCTTTTGGACTGTAGGCCTTGTTTTAAGAATCATAGTGACCTCCTCAAACACAAAAGAAAGAAGAACCTTACTTTCAATCAGTTTCCTAATTCAAATGGAAAATCTGAAATGCCCAATGATTCTTTCAGTCTACCTCTAAATAGAGCTCCCAATGAGTCCTAGTGACACACACTGAGCTACTCAGAAGGCTGAGAACTGAGGATCCAGGTTTGAAGTTAGCCTAGATAGACACACCCTTGAGACTTACCTACAATTAACCAGCAAAACACTGGAAGTGGAGGTATGGCTCAATTGGCAAAGGACCTAGTTGGGAGGGGGGAGGGGAAAGCAAGAAAGTCAAGCAAGAACCTGAGGCTCTGAATTCAAGTCCCAGTACCAGTAATAAATAAATAAATCTCCCACAGCAGCCAAAACATCAGCCTTCTGACAGCTAGTGACTAAGGACCTTGTTTCTACATTTTTGGACAAAAGCAATCTGGTCTCACTTTATTGACCAGACTGGAATCAAACTCCTGGAACCCAAGAGATCTTCCAGGTAGGTAGGATTTCAGAAGAGCACCCTCCAAAAGGACAAGGAAATTCTTGAGAACATGAGCGGCCTACAAGCAGGAGAGATCTCTGTGTGCCACAGAAACGGGTGCCAAAAAAACGCCATGCCCTATCTTGATAACCCTCCACCCTTCATGGGTTCCAATTATGAATAAGACCAGCTGACCCCACTTGACCACATAAACAGTCACAGGTACAATTTGTTCCTTCCACATCATAAACGAGTGTCTATGAAACACAGACCCAGCACACACCCCAAGACTTCTAATCAATTCTCAGAAGCAAAACTTGGCTTTGGACACACCTGGCCAATCTTTCCTAAGCAAGCTTTCCTGCCACTACTTGCTGCCCAAAGAGGACAGAGGGCACAGAGCTGACCTGACTTTACCTGCACATAGGACACCTTCCTTTTTCCTTTTTCCAGCCTAGGTGGTTATCTAGGAATACGGGGAGAAGCAGGCAGTCCTGCTCACCTGAGAGTTGTATAATTTCATGTTTTCCCAGACCATGTTAAGTTAATAATCCATGTGCTACAGCCTTTAAATTAAAAAAAAAAAAAGTTAAGACCCATCACTCAACGGTAACTTGTTTTAAGCTTGGCATCCTTATTTGCCAAGAAATAAAAGTCACCAGAACATCAAACAGAAAGGAGAATAAGAGGGTAAAGGCCACTATTCTAGTGAGGTCAGACAACTTGCAGAAGTTCTGTGGAGGGTAGAGATGGTCAAAAATAAAAATACAGAAAAACAAAGAGCACTTGCTCAACAATAGTGCACTTTAGGATGCATGAAGCCCAAGTTCATCCCCAGTACTGCAAAAAAGGAAAAAAGAAAAAGCCAAGCACTAGTGGCATATAATTCTAGCTACTCAGGAGGCTGAGATCTGAGAATCAAGGTTCAAAACCAGCCTGTCAGGAAAGTCAATAAGACTCTTATCTCCAATTAACCACCAAAAAGCCAGAAGTAGAACTCTGGCTCAAGTGGCAGAGTGCTAGCGTTGAGCATAAAAAGCTAAGGGACGTTGCCCAGGCCCTAAGTTCAAGCGCCAGTGCCAACACACATACACATACACACACACACACACACACACACGGAAGAACAATACCTGCTCTCTTTGGTGGGGGGGGGGGGTGCATATGCTCTGACCTCTGCCTTAGCCTTCACTGCGGTCAAACTATATGAAGGCAAACTCCCAACTTCAGAGTGGTGAAATTGAAATAGCATGGGATCTGCTTACCCCTGGTTTCCCCCAAGTCACCCCAGAAATTAGGATGGCCTTACAGCCCCCCCACACACACACAATATACCCAAATCCTAAAAGTTAGTATTCCACAAACAAATGTCTATCTCAGCCCCAGACGTCAAGGCTGGACCTCTCAAATGAACAAAAACTCCTCCCTGTTGGAATGACGGCTCAGGTAGCCAGGAAGTTTTACAACACCTTCACCTCAAGGTCACCTTCAGACTCGTTTATAAGATAGGACGTGACACTGAAGAATTAACCAACCAAACCCTAGACAGCACTACAACTCAACTTGTAATGTGCAACCCACTAAAACATCCTGGGTTGAAGCCGTCTCTGTGAGCAGGCTACAGAGATTTAACATGCTCCCCGTGGGCTTGGCCACCCCACAGCAGCAGCCCCCAGCAACAGGGACCCCCCCCCATCCTCAGACCCAAGGCTTTGGGCATATCCCACCACTCTGAATAAAAGCAGTAAAGTCAAGTCGGCCCTTCCTTCTCAGAGCTGCTTTCTGGAAGGGGGATGCCTTGGATGAAGACTTCCAGACAAATGCCTGTCAGAAGCCAGAACTACAAATAACCTGCGCTGTTAAATTGAAGTGGGAGTTTCTGGGCGCCCAAGTGAGCAGCTAAGGTCAGTAGCTCTGGCTTGCTGGGGGGCCGGGCTGGGGCCCCGGAGAAGCTTTCTGCCTCCGGGTTCCCTTTTCCTCAGCCCGTGTCAAGTGCCCTTTGGGTTAAATTAGGCACATTTAATAAACTGTGACCAGGACTGGAAATAAAAACAGGCTGAAGCTGGTTCTGGCGAGCTGAGAAAGTGACATGCCTGCCATTAGCACCCAGCCCGCCTCACCACCGAGAAACAACAACAACCCTCCGGACCCAGAGGCACACCGGGGTCCTATTTCCTGTCGGGGGGCTGCGGGGAACTCTGCCAAGTGGCCGACTTCCTTCGCCCCGCGAAGAGCCCGGGAGGATGGCCAGCACGCGCGGCCCGGGGTGGGGAGCGGGCGCCCCGACCCCGGCGAGGCTGCGGCTCGGGCGCCCGGCCGCGGGCCTGCCGCGGGCGCTGGAGAAGGTGTGCGGCTCCGAGAGGGGCCTCGGCCCGCAGGAGCCAAGAGCGAGGGAACTAACGGCCCGGGACTGGCCCGCGACAGACCGACCGGAGAAGTTTCCTTGACTTTGGGACACCAGCGGGGAGGGAGAGGCGCGGCCGGGGGCCTGGCGGCCAGCAGGTGCGTCCCGCGTCCGCGGCGGGTCCTGGGGAGGGGTCCCCACGTCCCCCATCCCCCGGGCGGACTCCCCCGGCTTCGCGAGCCCGTCGGGCCCCACGGGGCTCGGCGTGCCTGAGCCTCTGCGGACCTCCCGTCCCCCAAGAGGAAGGAGAGCGGCCTTCAAGCCCGGGATGTCCCACCGCAGGTCGGGCGGGCCCGCAGGTGGCCTTACCGCAGGTAGCTGCCGGAGTTGTGCTGGTTGTAGTGCTCGGGCTGCGTGTGCCAGAAAAGCATGGCTGGAGCCCCGGGCGCGCCCAGCGCGGCGCGGCAGCGAGCGAACACGCGGAGCGCCGGCCGCTCTCCGCCACCAGAAAGCCGCGCACCGAACCGGTACCGTCCGACCGACCGCCGCATTTATCCCCGAGCGGCCCGGGGGCGGAGCCTAGGCGGACCGCCCCTCGCACCCTGCCGGCTGCGCGGCGGCAGGCGACCCGCGCCTTCCCGGGAGCGAGCGCCCTCCAGGGCGCAGGACCCGAGGGCGCGCGGCGCGCGGGGGGGCTGCGTCGGGCCCTCGCCCTGGACCCCCACAGTGAAGCCCAGCGGACCCTCGGCTCTGTTCCCCACTCAGCCCCCGCGGGGTCCCCACAGCTGATCGGTGGCTGGGAGTGGCTGGGGTGGCTGGGAATCCAGGCACTCCCCCAGGATGTGTGGGGGACCCGGGCACGCTCCCGTCCCTTTGCCTTATTCTTACATTTCCCTGACGCTAAATACTTGTTGTGTCATCTTTTAAGTTTTACCTGTGTACTGGTTGTCCATCTCCCCTGCAATGTCAACTAAGAAGGCAGGGCGCGCTGCCCATGGGTCATGCCTGTCATCCTAGCTACTCAGGAGGCTGAGATCTGAGGATCGCGGTTCAAAGCCAGCCTGGACAGGAAAGTCAGTGAGACTCTTATCTCCGATGAATCACCAGAAAGCCGGAAGTGGCGCTGTGGCTCAAGTAGTAGAGCACTCGCCTTGAGTTGAAGAGCTGAGGGTCAGTGCCCACGCCCAGAGTTCAAGATCCATGACCGACAAAAAAAAAAAAAGGCAAAGAACCAACCTCGAACTCACAACTGGCAAGGGAGGGAGGGAGGAAGGAGAGAGAGAGAGAGAGAGAGAGAGAGAGAGAGAAACACAGGGAGGGGTACAATCAGAGAAAACTTCCTGGGGGAGGTGGGTTAAGCTGAGGCCTGGTCGATGTGGAGGAAGCATCTAGAAGGCATTGAGGCACACCTGGATGGGAGATTGAAAGTAGGAGACAGCCCAGAGTTCAAGCCCCAGGACCAAAAAAAAAAAAGAGATAAAAGTAGGAGACCGGGGGCTGGGAAGGTGGCTCAGTGGTAGAGCGCTTGCCTTGCATGCCTGAGGCCCTGGGTTTGATTCCTCAGCACCACATAAGCAAAAAGAAAAAAGCCGGAAGTGTCATTGTGGCTCAAATAGTAGAGTGCTAGCCTTGAGCTGAAGAGCTGAGGGACAGCACCCAGGCCCAGAGTTCAGGCCCCACGACCGGACCCAAAAAGGAGGCCGTAGGAGGTGGCTCACACCTGTAAACCTAGCTACTCAGGAGAAAGTTTGAAGCCAGCCCAGACAAGAAAGTCCATGAGACTCTTACCTTCAATCAACTGCCAAAAGACTTGAAAGTGGAGTTGTGGCTTAAGTGGGTTGTGGCTTAAGTGGTAGAGCATCAGCGAAAAAGCCAAGCAAGAGTGCAAGGCCCTGAGTTTATGCCTCAGTACTGACACAAGAAAAAGGAGAAAAATAAAAAAGCCGGGGGGGAGGGGGGGGGGGATAGATTTATGATTTGCTTTTTGGAAAGGGTCCTGTCAGGAAAGCAGTTAGGAAGGATTTTCTGTGGAGTTCTGTGGGGTGCAGAGCCAAAATGCTGTCTAGTCCCCCATTGTGATGCTCAGGGCCTGGGCCCTGGGAGGCCAGCATCCTGTCCCAAGAAACTAATGGAATGAGCCCCCTGGAGACCGAGATTCCTGGCTGCCAGCTCCCCCGAACAGAGCTGGACCTATTCCCCTCACTCTGAGTGTCTTTCAACTGCCATCACCTCTAGCAGGAGCCTCCAAAGCCCAGAGCAGCCTGGAGACCACACTAGGTTGGGGTGGTCTACTTTCCAATGACTACTATGCCCATCTCTGCTGACAATGCTGAAAAACTACTATGGCCTCTGCAGGTTCAATTGTCAGGAGTTTCGTAAATCAAGTCCAGAACAGTGGAGGATCCAGCCATTCTCTTCTCCAGGTGGCAATCTCTGTGTCTCTATCTCCACTAATACCTCTGTGTCTTCTTATTGGCCCTGGATCTAGGGCTTTGTATACCATAGGCAGTGCCCTGATTGGCTGCCCCTATTTATAATTAGGTGTTTTAGAAGGTAACACCTTATTGGTTGGATCCCACAACATTCTGATTAGTTGTCAATTCCTAATCAGGTTCCCCCTGCAGACTCTTTCGGTAGGGTGACAGGAAGGCTATGGAAGCTAGCTGGGATTAGTGAGGGCAGAAACAAGCTGTTCTGAAACAATTTCTCTTTTGCAACAAGTTTCAGCCTGCTAGGCCAAGATGCTAGGGAAGGGACATGTAGATCCTAATTGATTTATTCTTTCATAGCATGTAAAAAAAAAGAAAGAAAGAAACAAAACAGTGTGTGGTTTCCTGGGCATTAGTAGTTCATGACTATAATCCTAGCTAATCAGGAGGCTGAGATCTAAGGTGTGCAGTTTGAAGTCAGTCCAGGCAGGAAAATCCATGAGACTCTTATCTCCACCTAACTATCAAAAGAAAAAAAAAAAAGATAGAAGTGGAGCTGTGGCTCAAGTGATAGGGCACTAGCTTTGTACAAAAAAAGAAAAAAAAGCTCAGGGACAGCACCTAGGCTCTGAGGACCAGCCCAAGGACCAGTGCATGTGTGTGAACAACACACACACACACACACATTTAGAAATGGTGGAAGGGTTGCCTTCTCTGTGTCAGGCCTGGTGCTATGTTCAGCTTCTCGGGGCTGGGCAGGCAGGTCCTCCAGCTTACAGCTGCAGGATCTAAGGTTCCAGATTGGGAGGCTTGGCACCACTGTTGGGATGGAGGCCAGGTCTGTGAATTCAGAGCTTCAGCTCTTTGGATACCAGCAATTTCTGTCCTAACACCTTGCATTCCTTTCTCTACCCAATAATAGGCAAACTCTCAGAGCTCAAAGGATCAGCCTAGAATCCCCCCCAGAGGCAGCAGCAAGCCTCCATAAATTTCTCAGGGGACATCCCCTTAGAGACTCCACAAGGAACTCCCAGCCACACGTACAGGAGATTACCATGCCTCATTTTGGGGGGGTGGTGAGGAGGGTTCTTTGTTTGTTCTAGTCCTGGAGCTTGAACCCAGGGCCTGGGTGCTGTTCCTTAGCTTATTTGCTCAAGGCTATCACTGTACCACTTGAACCACAGATCCACTTCTAGCTTTTTGGTAGTTAATTGGAGATAAGAGTCTCATGGACTTTCCTGCTCAGGCTGGCTTCAGACCATGATCCTCAGATCTCAGCCTCCTGAGTAGCTAGGATTACAGGTGTGAGCCACCAGTGCCGAGCTCATGTCTGCTTCTTGAGAGGATAGTTTGGAGGGATGAGAATGGTCCAGGTAAGTTAGAGGTGGCATTAGGCCAGAGGATAAAGCGTTGTAACCATGTTTATCTTGGTAAGGGATGCTCTGGGAATTTGCAGCTGTGCTGGGGGAGGTGTGAGCCAGGGGCAGGGTTAAGCCTCCAGAGCCTTCAGATGCCCCAGGAACTCTGGCACATGAATGGGCCTCTGAGTTGTCCAGGATTTGAGTGAAGGAGTCGGACTTTCCTATCCTTGTTCATCAACATCATTGATCACATATGGTTGCTTCTGGGCACAGGACGCTGGGCCCAGAGAGGACTCAGCGTCACCTTCTAATGTTCCTCCCAGCTGGCTGCAGAGTACCTCAGCCTGGGGAGATGCCTTGGATGGCCACCATCCTCTCTGAGCCATCAAGGATTTGTATAGCAGGCACAGGCTAAACGATACCATTTTAATGTACTGGGTTAAATATATTATGAAAGTTAATTTCACCTGTTTTACTTGAAAACTTTCCCATGCACATTAGATTCCTACCCAAACAGGACTAAAGGAAATCAGTGCCTCTCAGTCAGAGGTGACTCTGTCCATTACCCTCGCCCCAAATGACAATAGCAAGTTTGTCTGTCACAATTGGGTGGGGTGACACTGGTGTATAGTGGTACAGGTCATACAAGTCAGTGAACATCCTACAAACAGTGATCTGAGACAGTATTCCACAAGAGCTAAAGTTGAGAGACACTGGCCAAGAAGTAACTCAGCCCATGGCACCTACAAGAACCCAGTTGTCTTTCTTTTTTGCCTTTTTTTGGTATGTGTGTACATGTCCTATTAGTTTGTTTTACAGTGTTAGGGATCAAACCACAAGTCTTCTTATTCTTTCTTTGCTATGTATACTTTCCTTTTGCAAAATATTGTCACCACAGCTGCTGTAGCCCCAGCCATGATGACAGCATTCCCACCAGCCACAAAGAGGAAAGACAGAAGGACACACATTGTCTCTTCAAAGATGTACACACCCTTCTGTTTATTTCCTATTGACCAGGACCTGGCCATGTAATCTTCTCTTACAGTGTGTGAGTCTTGGAAATGTAGTCCTTATTAGAATGGATTGTGCTCGGCTTTAAAAATCAGATGTTTCTTACTGAGAAATCTAAGGATCTAAGGAGAAACTGGTATCTGCCTTGCTTTGCCATGGGCACCAATTTTCCATGACTTTGATGAAGAAATAAGGAGAGAATGGGAATAAAAGGAGGAGCCTAGACACGGTTTATAGCAAAGCTTCAAGACTGCTTGGCAGTGTCTTCAAAACTGGGGTGTGTTTGTTTGTTGTTGGTTTTCTTTTTGGAGGTGGGGTGTACTGAGGCTTGAACTCAGGGCCTTGTGCTCTCTCTTGGCTTAGTCACTTAAGCTAATGCTCTACTTGAGCCACAGCTCCACTTCCGGCTTTTTACTAGTTAATTGAAGAGAAGAGTCTCATGGACTATTCTGCCTAGGCTGGCTTCCAACTATGATCATCAGATCTCGGCCTCCTGAGTAGCTAGGATTATAGGCATGAGCCACCAGTGCCAGGCCCTAACACACTGTTTGGCCTTGCAAATGGGCCTCAGCCCGATTTGCCAGAGGCTGGGACTACCTCCTAGGTGTGGTTTATCTTTACATCTGATCCCAGTCTCACTGTCAAGCACTTCACTAAATGCTTTAGAAAGACAACAGCTTTTCCAAGCTGTTCCTTCCAATTCAGATGGAATCTGGTGAGTACTAACAG